GAATCATTTCTCACAATACGTGTTAAAAAAAATAAATACACAAAAGGCAAATGAAAGAGCTAAACACAGAGAGAAGTCCCTTCGCTGAACAGAGGTTTTGCCGGGTACACTTTGGATGGCATCATGCATGACGTTGGACCAAACACATTGGAAACTTCCTGGAAGTGTTTGTTGTTATTCCTCAATGTTACTAACTCAGACGTATTTGACATTCAAGGGCCCACTGTATATAAAAAATAACCAAAAGAAACTGATGGAAACATTAACATTAACAAAGGACATCAGTATCAGCAGTTGATATTTGTCATGTCGATATCAGGGCTCACCAACCTTTCTGAAACTGAGAGCTACTACTTGGCTACTGATTAGCGCAAAGGCTCCCAGTTGGATACATAACAAATGTGCTCAAATTATATGTTTTGATTAATAATTCACGATATTGGTTTATGTGAAGACACTGCTCCTGTGAATGATTTCTCACAATCATTCGAAAATAAATAAATAAATAAATATCATCATGCATGAAATTTTCTAGGAGCGTCTGCTGGTTTACATTTTCAAATAATCACTTGGACAACATTCTGAGAAAATGGAGTGGCCCGTCACTGGTGAGCTATTTTTTTGGAACAGGCTCGCAGGCTTCTCATGTGGTTCCGGAGGGCTACCTGGTGCCCGTCAGCAACCACATTGGTGACCCTTGGTCTATATACATCAGTGTACCGTGCGCTCGTGTTTTGTGTGGCTGGCATAATGAATCGATATCGTAGGAGCACATTTGGGTGCTACTACGAACCCTTGTGTGCTCACTTATGCTCAAGTAGGTCAATGACATGAGAGTGAGAAAATGATTTTGTTCTTCTGTCCAGTTTTATGATCTGTAAAGAGATTTTACAGATGAGTGAAGACAAAACTTAGTGTTTTGGTAAAAATATAGTGAACAGTCCAGGTTAGGGGTGTACCCCGCCTACTCCCTGAAGTCCGCGGGGATAGGCTCCAGCACACCCGCGACCCAGAGAAAACCCACGCACAGGGAGAGCACACAAACTCCACATAGGAAGGCCGGAGCTGGAATCAAACCCGTTACCTGTAAGGTCGAAGCGCTAACCACTGGACCTGTATTAATGGAACACTCTAAATTGTCCAATGTGTGCCCTGCAATTGGCTGGCAACCAGTTCAGGGTGTACCTGCCTACTGCTCGAAGACAGCTGGGATAGGCTCCAGCATGCCCACGGCCCTTTTGAGGATAAAGCGGTTCGGGTAATGGATGAATAAAAAAAGAGGAGTTAGCTTCACCCTAAAAAAAAAATCGACATCAATACAACACTGAAATCCGATGCACTCATTCTTTCTTTTATCAGCTATTGCATACAAACTAGCTCACAGACTCATTTTGACCTATATTATGTATGAAACAGTTGGAAAAAAAATGGCATTTTGTCGCATGGGATTTTTAAAGCCTGCTGATATTTTGCCTTGTTTTTTCAACAGCACAGCCACTTGCTGTCAAGCGTTCACAAACTGGACTTTTGTGGAACTGGCATGGGTTAAATTCTAACTCAATGTGCTGTCAAACCATGCGGCCAGACCACGCTTTTTTTTTTTGATTCATTCCTCAGTTCTTTGTTTAGCAATAATTTAGCTCAGACGCAAATGTTTTAAATTTAGTTGATTTTTATTATATGAAGCGTGTATACATACAAATGTTCTTGTTGTTCTTAAAGCTCAAAAAGGCCGGACGCATCTGGACAATTATCAGTGCTTTTTGCATAAATAAAAGAGAAAGAGAGAAAGACATATAGCATGTGACGTGGTTTCTCTTTTCCGTCTTTCATCGGTGTAATTTTGTCAACAGAAAACAAGCTCTCGCCTGCCTCCAATTTTACTGCTGCATCAGCATTACAGGAAAGCCTGCGGAATTTAGAACCGTATCATAATGCCATGCGGATGCAATTTCAACATTGTACCGTGTTAGCCACGACTGCGTTGAAAAAAACGATCACCTCGCAGATGTTCACTGGAACCAACTGTGCAAAGGTTGTACGACAGCACAGTGCACCCGCAGCCTGATTCCCACTCCTGTGATTTGCCTGCTTCCTTTCCTCCTTTCCTCTTTTCTCATCTGCTCTTCCCCGGCCACCACCTCCCTCTCTGATTTTTTTTTCTCCTCTTGCCTCTGTGTGTCAGTAAAGCCATGAGAGGAGGGAGACTGCTTTCTGCTGGCTCTGCATTATGAGAGGGAGAAATGAGGCTGAGGGACACGAGAGAGACTGAGCACAAACAGCAGTTCAACAGCAAGGCTGTGCCAAGAGAAGGAATGCAGCATTGCATTATGAAAACCAGTGAGGAGATAGTCCAGAGCAAAAATAACTGGAGAAAAACTGAATTTTTCTTTGAGGTGTAGAATATGAAGGTTATGACTACATTTCTTTTATCAATCCATGAGGAGAAGTTGGTACCTCTCCATTGGAGTTTACATTTTAGGGAAATGCTGGACTAAAGTGAACAGTTGCTAAATGACATAAAAAACAAATCTTAATAATAATCTTGTCTTAAATAAATTGAATGAATTTCAAGTTCCGTGTCTGCAGCGCACAATTGACTGCAGGACTCTTCAAGCCACACCGCCCTAATACAGGATGCACTGTGGATTCCTCCATCATGTCTAAATTCCTGCATGCTACAGCATTGAGGCCATGGCTGTATCGGAATCCACACATGACATTGATTTTTAACCTGTAAAATGCAAACACATTTTTTTATCTCAATTGGAGGAGCATCGGAAAGTTTCGAATTCCAACACTAGTTATGAAGAGCATTATAAGAAACACAAATGTCAGCCATTCAAGCATCGCTGGTAACAGTTAGTGGATCTAATCAGTATTTCCTATTAGTAACTCAATAATCTTGTCTTAGAAAGAAAAGACCAGCCTGACTGGTGCAAAAGAAAACAGCAGATATATTGACTATAATGCATCTCTTTGGTCAGAATCCCTCACAAAGCACCCACAGCAAGAAAAAGCTCAGGTACAGGACAGAAAGAGGTGTATTCGACTTACCGTGCACTATTTGTAGGTCAGCCCGAGGCCAAATTTTGCTCTATTCCCTGCCTCTTTGCAAGCAGGGGGTTGCTGCCTTGGCATGGAGCTATGTCATTCCATGTTATTTTTGGCTACAGACCCGAATGTATCTACTGCCTATTTTCTTTTTTTTTTTACCCCAGTCCCAGCAATGAGGCACAATGTACATATCAAGGTTGGATTCTGAGGTTTATTAGCTCCCATGCGAACGATGACCAGAATTAGAGGATATTTTGGCTTAAAAATTCTGGAAAACTAAACCTTCACTTTTCTGATTTTCTGCCACATCGTCATCAATAGGCGGCACAGTGGGCCAGTGGGCCAGTGGTTATTGCGTCGACCCCACAGTGCAGAGGTTCAATTCCGGCTCTGGCCTCCCTGTTTGGAGTTTGCATGTTCTCCCACTTGAACGCTCGAAATTGTCCCTAGGTGTGAGTGCGAGCGCGAATGGTTGTTCGTCTCTGTGTACCCTGCAATGGGCTGGCAACCAGTTCAGTGTGCCCCCCGTCTACTGCCCGAAGACTGCTGGGATAGGCTGCAGCACCCCCCGCGACCCTTGTGAGGATAAGCGGCTTGGAAAATGAATGAATGAATGAATCGTCATCAATAATAGGTAATGAATTATGAAAGGCTGGATTAGCACAGTTCACATCAAATCCGGACAAATGTTAGTTTTCTCTCAGGAGTCGAAGCTGTTTTTTTCAGCTAGCTTTCAACCTTACCTGCGTAGATAAGTAAAGCAAAAATAATTTAAACTAGGATTGTCTTATTCTGATCAATTAAATAACAGGGTTGCATGAGGTAGAGTGAGACATTCAATCAAGGCTGACTCATTCATTCATTCATTCATTTTCCGATCCGCTTTATCCTCACAAGGGGCCCGGGGGTGTGCTGGAGCCCATCTCAGCCGTCTTCGGGCAGTAGGCGGAGGACACCCTGAACCGGTTGCCAGCCAAGCGCAGGGCGCAGACTAACAACCATCCACGCTCACACTCACACCTCGGGACAATTTAGTGTTCAATCAGCCTGCCAAGCATGTTTTTGCAATGTGGGAGGAAACCGGAGTGCCTGGAGAAAACCCACGCAGGCTCGGGGAGAACATGCAAGCTCCACACAGGGAGGCCGGAGCTGGAATTTAACCCAGTACCTCTGCACTGTGAGGTAACCACTGGACCACCGGGCAGCCTCAAGGCAAACTATTTTATTAAAATGTGAAAAATAGAGAAAAGAGGACATACCTTTTCTCAATCCATTCTTTTGGAATACAGTACTGTTTGTTGATGTCAAGTCCAGCAAATCATGGGATTCACTTCTTTGCGGTTCTTCTACTATGCTAAAAACGGGGATGTACGTTCCATCAATAAAAAGTAGTATTTAAAATATGATGTTTATAAAAACAAATGTTCCCGGGGTTATAAGAGACAGCAATGAAACAAATTATACACAAAAATGACATTTAAATTTCATTTCAACAGTTTTATTTGAGATTCAATTTGGTCATCCACGACTAAAATGTCCTCCAATTCTGGAATAACCCACCTCCCAATGTTTGATTGCCGGCGTAGAGGAAATTGGACAGATTCAGATGCGCTGTATTTCGAATGACAAGACGGCGTCTATAAATCGAAAATGCTTAACGGCCTTTTTCCAGCTGTAGTGTTCTTCATCTTCTCCGTATCTTGTACTGAGGCAGCAGCTCATCTCATAAGAACCATCCCTTGAAGCTATGGCTGACATTAATGGAGAATACAAGGGAGAAGCAGAGTCACTCAGCCAAGAAATGACAGTCTCCCACATAATGCATATTTTATACTAAATATGGCTAGCACTGTTAGCACTGATATGAGGATTTGTATCAATCTGTGCCGTCATGCAGTCTTACCCCTATCAGTTTAACAATTGTTCCTGTTTTCTTATCATAGGAGGGCCAGGGGCTGATCCAGGAGAAGCCAGAGCTACGCACAGTTGTGCAGCAGAAGCTCGAAGAGATCAGGGAGTGCTGGTGTGACTTGGAGACCACAACCAAAGCCAAGGCTCGCCAGCTCTTTGAAAACAACAAGCCGGAGCCGGCAGTGAAAAGCTACTCAGACCTTGACAACCAGCTGTCCCACTTGGAGCAACAGCCCCCCCAACTAGAGCAGGCACATCATCTACCCACATTCAATGAGCAGCTCCAGAAATTCCAGGCAAGTACAGTATTAATGAATTTACAGTAAATACCGTATTGGCCCAATATAAGATGGCCCTGATTATAAGACGACCCCCTCTTTTTCAAGACTCAAGTCTGAAAAAAGACTTTTTGAACACCAAATAATTTTTTATACAGAAAATAATTACAGTACATCTGAAACAAATGATTATAACAATATATTTGAGAGAAAAAGCATGTTATTTTGCCTCATTCAAATCTGAATATCTGAACATTTAAATATGTAAACTAAAGTGCAATCACATTCGTAAATGAATTGTTTCTGGTTTTTGAAATGTAAATTACATCATAACTTCTCCTCAGCTGCCGGTTAACCTGGCCAATCTTCGACCCACTTTTATCCAGATTGTCGCTACGTTTCTCCGTTTTCTGTTATCTCTTCTATTATTTTCTTCTCTTTTCTTTCTTACCGCTATTTTTTATTTTTCTTCTTCGTGCTACCACTATTTTTATTTTTATTCTGCGTGACAGGGGTTCACTTTGGCCCGGGGAGTCAAGTTCAGCATTCGCTTCAATGATATCTGGCGCCATCTAGCGTCGTGATTGGGTATAACGTCTAGACCCCGAATATAAGACGACCCCCACTTTTTCAGTCTTATTTCAATGCAAAAATCATCGTGTTATATTCGGGCCGATACGGTAAAAGTAAAATATTATCCAGAAAGTGGATGGATGGATGGACATTGCATAACTTTTGACACCACTTAGTTCAACCTTGCTATGATTAAAACTCGACTGCATCTTTTTGGCATAGGCTATGGAGTCTAAGTTCGGGGATATCTACAAGGATGTGGAGGAACTGGGTAGCTTGCAGGGGGTTTGCCTTCCCCAGCGAGGTCTGATGGCAGGTGACAAGGAGGGTGGTGAGCAATCAGGCATGGTGGAAACCCGCATCGTTCGCCTCATTGAGCCCCTGAAGGAGCGACGCCGCATCCTGCTGGCTTCCAAAGAGATGCACCAAGTCGCTCAAGACCTGGAAGACGAAATGGTTAGCTCCTCATTTTCTTCTTTTTTGAAACATGCCCGACCATTCCATGACCTCATTTTGATGATTTAACAGCTTTGGATTCAAGAGAGGCTTCCCCTGGCATCATGTAAGGAATATGGGAATAATCTCCAGAGTGTGCAGCAGCATGTAAAAAAGAACCAGGTGAGGATCACAAAACTTTGAAACAAACACTTCTTGAGATTTACTTGAGATTGGTCTTTCAGACTCTCCAGAGGGAGCTGGCAGGCCGGCGGGCGCGTGTTGAGGAGGTTCTGGACAGGGCGGGAATTATCGCATCACTGCGCACTCCCGAAGTGGAATTTGTGCGTGAAGGGGCCGGCCATGTGCGGCAACTGTGGGAGGTGTTGCAGCTGGAGTTGGAAAGGAGATCCGTGATGCTGGATGCAGCACTGCAGGCTCAACAATACTACAATGAGGCAGCCAAAGTGGAATCCTGGTTATCAGGTCAAAAACTCCAGCAGGCCAATGACGAAAAAGGCACGGTACGGGCAACGCTGGCAATCAGTTCATTTGTCAAACCGCCACTCCGGTACACAGATCCACTTCTGATCATTTGCAGGATGAGGCGAGCACCCTGCAACTGTTGAAGACTCACCTGGCTCTGGAGCAAACAGTGGAAACATATGCAGAGACTGTTGGCATGCTGTCCCAGCAATGCCAGCAGTTGCTCGAGCTTGGACACCCAGAGAGGTGTGACACGACTCATCATTTCACTTTCTGTGCACCTTTCAAGCACAATCTGTAGTTTCAGAAACATTTTTTTTTTACCTTGAACAGTATAGCAGTGCAATATTTACATCGGATTCAGATTTGAGATTTTCTGTGCAAAGGACAAAGTTCAGTTTCAAGTGCATCATGTTCAAATTTACAATAGTACTTGAGACATTAACAGTTACTGTGCCAAATATGGCATCTATTATGTTTTTATGCAGTAGGTGTAGTACCTGTATGTCTGATCTGTTATTATTGTGTTTCCTCAGTGAGCAAATCACCAAGCAGCAGTCCCACATAGACAGACTGTATGTTTCTTTGAAAGACATGGTGGAGCACAGAAAGATCAAGCTGGAACAGCAGTACTGGCTTTATCAACTCAATAAGGATGTAGAAGAATTAGAGAAATGGATCACGGAACGTGAGACTGTGGCAAGTTCAACCGATCTTGGCCAAGATCTGGAGCATGTGACGGTGAGAATGGCGACGTCGCAAGAATTTTTTTTTCAGCTAACAGCCAATCAGTGTGATCAGTTGCCCATCATCGATCATGGATCACACGAATAACATTATACAGCACCGCATGACATTATTTCGATATATTTTCTCAGATGCTCCAAGAAAAGTTCACCAAATTTGCCTCCGAAACAAACAACATTGGCCAGCAGCGGATGGAGCAGGTGAACAAAATGGTGAATGAAATGATCGACTGTGGCCATTCGGATGCAGCCACCATCGCTGAGTGGAAGGATGGATTGAACGAGTCCTGGGCCGACCTCCTGGAGTTGATGGAGACCCGCAGACAGATGCTGGCGGCATCCAACCAGCTCCACAAGTTTTTCACTGACTGTAAAGAGGTGTGTTCCAAGTTAATAACTGCCTGTGTTACAAGTGTCTCTTTACGCGGTTTATTCGTCTGGCTTATATTTTAAAAAGCGCTCGTGATGACGGCTCGGTCTGGCATTGTAGGTTTTGGCTCAGATCGCAGGGAAGACGAAGCAGCTGCCAGAGGTGAGGGCATGCCAAGCCAACATCACCAATCCAGCCACCCTGCAGAGACTCATGCACTCTTTTGAGCATGCCCTTCAACTGTTAGTTACACAGGCAAGTGTTATAATCTCTTCTATGAACCGCCAATCACGTAACTTCATTTATTAATGTGGTTTTGTTGTGCTTTCAGTTCATATAGTGTGCATAGTTAATCAATTACCATATTTTCTGCACTATAAAGTGCTTTGGATTGCTTCATTGAATGGCCTATTTTAAAACTGTTTTTATATATAGGGTGCATGGAATAGAAACTACAATAGTGGCTGTGGTTGCGCTATGCATCCACTAGATGGAGCTATGGTAAAGGGAGTACAATACAATACAATACAGCTTGTATTTATAGAGCCTTTACAACCAACAAAGCCATGAGAACTGGTCACAAACAAGTACTGTACATGCAACATATAAATACAAATGGCATTACAAAACAATAAATGAAATACAAAAGTTATGAAGACAATTGATTCAACAAAAAAGGCACACAAACCTCGTGGGCTCACATTCACAAGGGGCTACATATCCTTAGAAATCTTGCTTGTCTCCTTCTTCCTTCATTTAGTCAGAAGTTAACGATACTTTTTGTATTATGTTCGTTTCATAATGGCTGCGCAGAGCTCACAGAGTAGTTGTCTGTTGGAGTGTGTGTTGGCCAATGCACATGTATGTCAATTAGTGTCGGGCAGAACTTTTTTACGTTACAATTGGTTGCTGCTAATAATCACCGCTAGATGGCATAGTAACACTAATAGGGAAACAACTCAATGGGGAATATAAAGAGACTGGAAAACCATATGTAAATCGCATCAGATTATAGGGTGCACTGTAGGCTTTAGAGAAAATGTAATCCTTTTATGTACGCCTATGTACAGAAAATACGGTATGTATTATACATTGATACAGATTGTTTTGGAGGGAGCTGCACCTCTCTTGACTATTCTTTGACAGTATCGATCAACAGGGATTTAGCTACGATGAAGTCATTGCATCCTATCTTGGTTCAGGTACGACAGCTACAGGAGAACGCTGCGCAGCTGCGTACTATTTATGCTGGCGAGAAGGCTGAGGCCATAATGGTAAAAGAGCACGAAGTGATGGAAGCTTGGAAGGAACTCTTAAGCTCGTGCGAGGCCAGTCGTGTCCAGGTCACCTCAGTGACAGACAAGGTGCAGTTCTTCTCAGTGGTGCGCGAAAATCTCATGTGGATGGAAGGCATTATGGGCCAGATTGGATGGGACGAGCCCAGGTAAGATATCATCTACTGTTCTTGTGAACATGTTTGTATTGGAGCTGGGGTGCCCAACCTTTATTGACCAAAGATCCAACCTCCCGCAATCGACCTGTTAACGCACGTGCACGCAAACACACGTGCGTATGCATGGGTGCGCAAGTGCGCATACGCACCCACACACGCACACACATGCCATGATGGCCCTGAGCATGAACAAAACTGAAAAATAAAGATCATGCGCCACCGCAGGTTAAACCTGCTTTTTTATTTTATTTTAGTTTTTAAATACTTTTTTGTGAAAGTGAAACTGATAGGATGCTTAGGGTGCCGTGTGCATGAACACAAAAATACATCATATTAATAACACGCACACAGAAAAATATCTATGTATGGGGCACTCCTGTAATAGACTGTCAAGTGAGGCTGCAGTGTCACCTTGACCGAAGTTACAATGATAACGCCCTTCAATGGTTCAGCGTCATGTAATCAAAGCTTTTGAGAGTGACTCAAGTTTTCAACTCATTCAAAAGTTGCTAAATGTATTGGAGTAAATATCAATCAAAAACATATATTTTTTTAAAAATAGATGACCGGCCTCAAGACCAAAACTGATCTCGAGAGCTTTAACACTACCATGTACTGCAGCTCAAGTTATATAGTATGTATTGTTTTTTGGTTTCTTTTTGTAATCTGTAATTCTAAACCTTTCTTGTTTCAGGGATTTGACTGCATTGGAGGTCATGATGAAACAACACCATGAGCTGAAAGCCAAAATAGATGGCCGCAGCAAAACTATCCAGCAGTGTGCAGATCTCGGCAAGATCCTTATAGCTGCCGGCAACCCTGCATCAGAGGAGGTCATGCACATGAGGATAACCACACAAACAACATGTTTTTCTCAAACTAAATTGATCTTAATCATACGTTTTTTTGGTTCATGGCTGTAGATTAAAGAGAAGTTGGATGCCCTTTTGGCCAAGCAGAAGGATCTTGGGGAGAAATGGGACAAACACCAGGAACGGTTGCAGCACAGTGAGTAGCTTACTTCTTGATATAAGACATTCTTTAAAAAAATAAGAAGACTAAATGTATCGTTCTCAATGTAACACAGGCCTAAAATAGCGACATACTATGATATGACACACAAATGCAAATTAACTGTGCCCCATTCATCATAATGTGAGGTGATGGTTAACGGGTTAATGGGAGGCTGTCTTCTTCAGAGCATGAGCGATTCCAGTTCGCCCAGGAGACGGTGAGGGCTGAAGCCTGGCTGAAGGCCAAGGAGCCTCCGATCACCTCCAAACAGCCAGAAGGGGGGCAGACCCAGGCCCAAACCGATGAGGTTGAGCAGCTCATCCTTCGCCACGAAGCCTTCCGCAAGGCTGCTGTCACCTGGAAAGAACGCTTCAGCTCTCTCCGCCAACTTTCCGCAGTAAGCTTGACTGTGGCTGAATGTTGAATGAGTTTTGATATCCACAGGGAAAAAAAAATGTGGCAAATTGTCGTTGTTCGGCATGCATGGATTTATGCCAGTGGTTCCAAAGTGTGACATGTCATATACCAAATGTGTACCACAAGTAGTATGTGGGCTCCCTGTTAAGGAACACAAAATAATCAACTCAACTCAACTCAACTGTATTTATTGAGCACTTTCAAACAGCCATCGCTGCATACAAAGTGCTGTACATGGAGCAATTTAACATATACAACAAACAGTCAAGCAAATCGGTAATAAAGACGGTAGAAAGCACCGAACAGCAAAACCAAGAACAAATCTAAGTCATGCTGAGTCAAATGCCAAAGAATACAAGTGAGTTTTGAGGCGGGTTCACTGCACTTAGCACAGTTTAGTTATATTTAACTTTCAAGTTCATTGAAATTTCAATTTTCCTATATTTTAACCAAGTGTTAACCCTTACATGCATCCTGTAACCTGATAACATGATAAAATGTCAACTGTCCCTGAATGGTTTAATATTAAAATTACATAATGCTACAGTGGCTTACAATAACACTGAATATCCATTTTTGCAAAAAAATAAATCAATAAAAACCTTCTGTCTCATTTTTGGTGAACACTTGGACTTTCGGTGCTGCTGCCATATTTAAATGTTGGTCCTGATGGGGGTACTTGAAGAGTATTTGATAGATGGTTCTTGTCTTTGCATCATTATGGCCTTAAAAGCTTCTCTCATGAACCACGGTCTTGCTCATTGCATCACATTTTTTGTTATTATTTCCATATGGTATGGCTGCCAAAAAAACGAATGAGCAAATGTCCGAGTCATTTTCGACAACCGCTATGCTGCTTCTGTATTCCTCCCTAGTATATGTGCTGATAATTACGTCAACTCCTTTTTCAGGCAGAGAAGAAAAAAGAGGAAGACAAAAAGACACCGCTCGCCAGTCGAAGGATGTTCCCGCTATCTTGTCTGACTCCGAGCGGACCCTCATTCGGTTCAACTCCATCTTTCATGAGGCAGATGGTACATGCCCAAATAGAGCCCACCCCCTTACAGACAAGCGTGGAACCAGCTGCCCCTTCTGCAAACCAGAGATTGTCCTCATCGCTCGCCAGCTACAACCCAGTCCTAAATGGATCGGGCTATCACGGGCTGGAGCCTCAATGTAGTGGAAAGTTAGTGAACCCCTCGTATCTTGGGATGAACCACCAGGCCATTGGTGGTGGGAGTGACTCTGCTTTTTCAGTGCTGACTTCCCACTGTGGAGGACAGGACACTTCTACTTACCCTGGAATAAACAATCAAACAACTGATAGTGCTGAGAGTTCTGGTTACTTTGGACTGCCTGCGAGTTGCGTGGGTGGCTCCGGCTATGCCATGCAAAGCCATCCAGGCAGTGGCAGGTTAGGAAGTTCGGGTAACCTAGCTCAGGAGCAAAGCAGTGGCCCGATGGGAAGCCCTGGGTTTTTCCAGCATCAGCATATGGGAAGTTCTGGATATTTGACACAACAAAATATGGGAAGTTCCGGTTACTTTACACAACCTCAAAATATGGGGAGTTCAGGATATTTGGGACAGCAGCCCAATTTAGGGAGTTCAGGATATTTGGCCCCACAACCAAATTTGGGAAGTTCAGGATATCTAGCTCAGAATTACCACAGCCCTGGTGGAATGGGTAGCTCAAGCTATCTTGCACAAAATCATTACAGCAGTGGAAGTCTAGGCAGTTCGGGTTACCTGGCGCCTAGTGGTGGCATCATGGACCCAAAAATGGCTTATGCATGGCAACACTTGAAAGCGGACTTCATGCAACCCGGGATCAATCACATCCACAAGGCTGTAAACCCGCTCCTCGAGGCCACGAGAGTACAAAGGGAACAGTATGGCGATATCCCGATGGCAGACATGATGGGCCCAGAATCAGGACTGGACCTACTCCACGGTCGTCTCCAGAGGGATCCCCGTGGCAGCCGCTCAGACCCTCAGATGGACCACCTGAGGCGAGAGAGGGAGTACAAACTGGGTAGACAAACCTCCAGCGAGCAGGAGATCCAAGCCAGGCTGAACGAGCTTCCGATGATTGTGCGTCAGGAGAGGTATCGAAGACGCTTGGAGAGGCAGTCATCCAGTGAACAGGAAGGGAGTGGCAAGCAGAGGCTGCAACGGCAAGACTCAAGTGACCTGGAGGGATCTGTTAAAGATGGCTCCGACAAACGCTCACTGTAAGTGAACTGGTCAAACTGGTGAAAATGTTTTTGCAGACAGTTCATTTGGGGCGCAGCGCATTTGCCAGTGTGTCCTGATTTTTGTGCAAGTGCAAGGCTCACTGTGTGTGTTTGCCAGTTCGGAAGCCTAGTCTGCAGTGCAGTGAGTGTTTCCTTGGAGATGCACCGTGCGGCGTGTTAATGTGGTGGCAGAAAATCGGCCTAAAATTGCACCTGTTGCCATGTCGAGACGCTAGTGTTCGATTAGCACGCCATATTTAAAGGGAATGAATAGAGCCGCTTTGATTGGTCTTGAGTGATGCAGGCTGTGAGCACTCCCACAGTGGCCCATCCCTCACTCTAACAGTTCTGCCGGTCTGCACTTATCTGTGAAATTACCAACACTGGGTCTAACCCGCCTCCGCACAGGGATACACCAAATGTCACTCCAGATTTACACCAGTCCCAAAAATAGAGCCTTCAGCACACATGCACACAACAATGACAGCCGAGTAAAAACAGGAGATTATTCATTGCCGTTTTTGAAAAGTTTCATGTTTAAATTATAATGATATGTGCTTGCATGGGTTTTCTCTGGGTACTCCGGTTTCCTCCCACATTCCAAAAACATTCATGGCAGGCTGATTGAACACTCTAAATTGTCCGTAAGTGTGATTGTGAGTGTGAATGGTTGTTCGTCTCTGTGTGCCCTGCGATTGGCTGGCAACCAGTTAAGGGTGTCGCCCGCCTACTGCCCAAAGACAGCTGGGATAGGCTCCAGCACGCCCCACGACCTTTGTGAGGTTAAAGCGGATCGGAAATGGATGGATGGATGCATTTCATGCTCGCAATTGCCTTTGTTGTCAAAAAAAATTGCCATGTCATAGTTTTTATCATTTCTCAGTGGAAATTTGACTGGTCTGCTTTCACTGTGTTCACTTTTCATGGGTGACTCATGTTGTCCTCGATCACTGCAGGGAAAAGAGATCTACTATGGCGGAGATTGTAGAACAAGTACAGGAGAGAGAAGCAGCACATGTAAGTTATCACTTATAGTGATACAGAATGACGCAAGTTACATCATGCTTTTCTATCGTTTTCTTAAATCTGCGTTATCAGGCCAGAGGAGAGCCTTATCGACCTCCAAGCAGTCTCTCAGCTCCGGTGACACGTTTTGACGGTCGCCCTCGGGCTCGAGATCGACCGAAACCAAGGAGGAGGCCCCGTCCAAAAGAACCAGAGGAAACTCGCCGCTCTCGATCAGCTCCAGCTACCGGCGCCCCGACGACACCGCAGCCACCTTCACACACAGCGCACAATGAAGGATTCCTGTATCGTAAAAAGGCCACCAGCTCTGATCTTGAAGCTCAGCAGAGAAGCCCCACCAGGTATAAAGCTGCCCCGGATATAGACAGTGAACTGAACCTATGAGTAACAGTGGCAGAGCTATGTGATAGTCAGGGATGTGCTAGGAACAACAAATCCTAACATTGTTGTGTGGAATTGTGTGGAACCGGGTCGAAATGACTCTTTGACTGTAAAAGGTTGCCGACCCCGGATATAGACAGTGAACTGAACCTATGAGCAACAGTGGCAGAGCTATGTGATAGTCAGGGATGTGCTAGGAACAAAAAATCAGCCCGGGAGGAATATACGACGGTGGCCATCACCTACCCAAATAATCAGGGATTGTGGTGTGTGTGGCGGCACTGGTTCGCATATTTGCCTCACAGTACAGCGGTGCAGGGTTCAATTCAATAATCATTGATACGCTGACCTGTGGTGAGTGACTTATGTGAATTTGTAGCTCTTTGCCAGAAAAAGTGATGGTTTTTAAGACATCTATTTGCCTCTCACCTGTTTTGTGCAGCAAATCCTGGGTTAATGTCTACTGCGTGCTAAAAGAGGGCAAGCTGACCTTCTACAAGGACGCCAGAAACCACAACACAACATACAATGGAGAACCATCTGTTGACCTTTCCAACTGCTCTTTTGATCCTTCGTTGGGATACAAGAAAAAGAAGAATGTTTTCATTGTTCAGTAAGATCAATTTCAAAATCATGATTTTGTCTTCATGCATAACGTTCTGTTGGTGGATCGTTGATCGGAAATGGGCAAAACACCTGACTCTTCTGATGTTAGCTCTAAAGCTTTGTCAAGCATGAGAAACTGATTGTCACTGTTTTTCTTTTCTCTCAGAGTCAACGATGGAAATAATTTATTAGTATTTCATGCAAAAGATGAGGTAAGAGCATTTGGCAAGTCGTGTCGAAATGGAGATGCATGGGAAGGCAAACATTTGGATGATCCTTATTTTTTTTAAGATTTTAACACACCACCTTGGAGGTCAACTCAATATTTTTTTTAATGCTATTATAGATGTTTGAGGCGGAGTTGAAACATAAATGAATTGGTAACAACTACTGTATCAGTAAAAACAAAAACAAAGCCTGTAATGTATCATATCATATCTGACTTCCGGGTTGAATGAACGCTGGCGCGTTTGGCTGCCGCTGCTCACCCGCACTGTGTTTTATTGTTCTTGTTCCTGATTGTAAAGTGTCCTTGGGTGTTTTGAAAGGCGCTTATAAATAAAATATATTATTATTATTATTATTATTATTATTATATCATTTATTCATATTTCCTTTTAAATACATTGTTACTCCAAATCTCAAAATCAAATCCGTGGCAGTGGTAGACTGAAGCAAATTTTTGTATATTTCATTTAATTGTTTCGCAAAAATTTTAAAAAGCCTTGTTACTCGATGCATCCTTACAAGAGTGAAAGTAGCTGCTCTTATTGAAAAACGCCTAGCTTAGTCTTTTATTTGCTTTCGCAAAGCAAATCAAAAGCCCCAAAAATTGGCGACTCGAGTCAAGTCATGTGACTTGAGTCCCCTGTTTCTGCTAAATGAATAAGGAAGGTGCATCCAACATGGGGTGTCTTTAACTCTTTAAGGGACAGCGGTCACTACAGCGGACAGTTTACCATGTTATCTGGTGACAGGGTGCATGAAAGGGTTAATCTGGCCAATGCGCAAGGAAAATCTTCAGCACTCTGGAGTGAAATATGTGGCCAGTGTCAATCAGCTTGGCCTGAGCATCTTGTAAAGGGTCCTCAAGCAGAGTAATGAGCCAAAATAGTCAGCTAAAAACACACGAGACGACAGGTGCAAAAGTCTCATTGAGAGTTACCTAAATGCTACACACAATATTTTTACTCTCTCATTTGTCTTTTTATAATGGAAGGATGTCAAATTGCCTGTGTATCGAACGAAACGAATGTGCTAAATAAGAATGCACTTAAGACTGTACAGAAGACTTTTTCACGAACGAAGGAATGCTCAAGTCAACATTTTTGATGAATGCATATTTTCAGAGTTAACTCATTAGTCATATTGCACTAATCAACCTGGACAGAGATGCATTTACCAAATGAATAATGAGAGACACACTTGTTGGAGTGGCTGGCGAGTGTCTGGTTAAGATTACACCACTCCATATTTTGTTCCTATAACCACAGACTAACTTCATTATTTTCATCCTCTTTGCCCACTCCCCGCGAGGTCACTTTTGGAGTTCATCCTTGACCCTGTCACACACCAATAATGATGACCTGTAACCTGATGAACATGATAAACTGTCCACTGTAGCAACCGTTGTCCCCTGAAAGGGTTGATGTGCTCACTAAGTAAAAGTCTCACAAGTCTCACAGGATATGCCATACCTGTTAATTTGTTATAACTTTAGAAGCCGCTAGGGACTTTGGAGATCCCACCGTGTTGCAGATCAGTGGTCCCCAACCCCCGGGCCGCGGACCGGTACCGGTCCGTGGGTCATTTGGTACCGGGCCGCAGAGAAGAATAAATAACGTACATTAATTCCGTTTTATTCATTTCGGAATCTGAAATATGTTTTATTTTGAAAAAATTACTGGATTCTCTGTTACATCCGTCTATAGTATGTTACTCTTGACGGAGGTCAAGGTGAGCTTCTCAGTCACTTGATAGGCTACCGCTAAAATAAAAACCAGCAACTAGCAAAATGAGTAAAAATGTCTTTGGGAAAGGGAAAAGGCCCAGCCAGGAGACAGAAGAGGGGCCTACGACTTTCAAGAAAACGAAGGTTACATTAATAGACAGTATCAGGAGTCCTACTTAAAATACAGATTTATCTCAAAGGGAGATTCCCACGCATCAAGCCTGCATAATATGCGGCGATGGTGAGACGTATTTTTCATGCACTTTGTATTTGCGCTGTATCTTATTTTGAAGGCACGTTTAAATGTTACCATAGCGGCCAGAGAGTGTTGCTAGGACGTTCCTCGCATCATTATTCGTGTTCATTATTATCCTGTATTTAGAAAATACCAGTTTTCATGCAGGTCGTATCACATTATTTTGTTGTATTTATCCGCCACACCTTAAAGGCCGGTCCTTGAAAATATTGTCTGACATTAAACCGGTTCGTGGGGCAAAAAAGGTTGGGGACCGCTGTTATAGATGATGGTTGACCGCTCATCTCACTTTCTCTCCAGGAGGATCTGAAGGCTTGGACTTCTAACATCACCACCTGTATATCTGAGCATGAGGCCATGGCCAAGTGGGACAAGCCCGGCACATCTGGCATGGACCATGACCGTTCGGAGAGGAAGGAGAGGTCGGAGGGCGATGCAGACGCCAGGTCGGAGAGATCGGAGCTCGTTGGCGAGGAGAGATCTGAGAAGGAGAGGTCAGAGAAAGGGGATGGCTCAGACAAGTTAGACACATCAGAAATTGCTGACAAGCTGGAGGGTGGGGCTGGGGGCTCCAGCACATCTGGAAAGAGCAAATGAAGAGCCTACTTATGTTTTAGTCACTGACAATTGGTGGTTGTATGAATGGGAAGCATGTTTGCAGAGCCCCAATCACAGAGCCGGAGGTTACCGGCCATGGACAAGACTATTGTAACTCATCTCCCAGCCAACCTCTCCACGTCACCGACTGCAATGCTTCGGTGCTTGTTGGGCCACCTGCTGGTGGGGGGTTGTCATTGTTTAATCTCTTGGTTTCATCTTTCGATATATTTCAGTGACTGATGATACCCTGTCGATCTCTCTATCTGTCCGTCCGTCTCGATGCACCTGAAAAAGAGGTGACTGAAGTGTTCACAATAATGAAAAACTTTTTAAGCAATATACTTTTTTTTAAGTTATTCTATCTTGTAGTGAGAGATAAAAGCAAATGAAACATGAAGTAGTGGCAAATGTGACGATTCGGTCTAATTTCTCATTCATGCTCGGTTACCCCTTAGATACTTAAAACATACGAAATCTTGAAGACATGTAATCCCACCCCATGGTAATCATAGATCATGTTATTATAATGGAATGCTGGTGTTAGCCACCAAGCTTTTTGGGGGGGGGGGGGGTCGTGAAATTCAAATTATTTTTTTGATCCATGCCCTGAAAAAAAACCCAACAAAAAAGGGAGCTGTCTATCAAATGCTCTCGGTGACAGGATTTGACATAATGCCTTTGTACACAAAATCTGAACACTGCATGAAATCTAATAGTCTCTTAGTGCGCTTGTTTGACTTTTTTTTTATGTTCTTGAAAATGTTTGGGGAAATTGCAATAATTTAGTGTGAGGAAATCATTTTGCAATCATGGTTCGCAAAAGTAGGGTTGTCTTCCATCCACAGTTATGACTACTCCTTGATCAGCTTTTTGAATGACGGGAAAGTGCCCCCAGACTCCCGCGCCCCACCATTTTTTTTTTGGTTCGATATCCTTATCATTTATTTCCCAACAGAATTTAACATTGTGTCTGGAGAAAAAAAATGAAGTGAGGGAGAAGCTCTCTGTACCGTTCCGTATTTTGTTTTCAAATCCAGATTGTCAATTTACCAACAGTGAGTTCAAATGCAAATCTGTTCAAAGTCATGAATTGTATATACCTATCTTTGTGTGTATATCAATAAACCCTGTGCGCTAATAAAACAGTACACTAAAGTGAAATGGGTAAAAAGTAAAACATTTATATTAATCCACTTAAGTCAAATAAAAATGTTACATTTAATGGAAAATATGCAAATTAGAAGTCACGAATGAATTACACAGCATATATTAAGTACACTAATATCTAGTTGTATGAGCCACTTTTACCAGGGGAAAAGCAGCAGGAAATACTTCAAATACGCTTGTATTTTTATATTCCTATGTTTCTTATATTGGCCCACAGCCCAAATAAGACCATCTAGAGCTGATTGAGTTGTCAGCGTGTTTGTGAGTCAGTGTGTTCAATGTGTGTATTATCAACATGCGTATGTTCGAGAAATTATTGGTGGCGAGCACAGAGTTCTGCGAGATTACCAGACACACTCTTCACTCTTTGACGTGTTTGAGAAAAATAGAATCTAAATGTGAACAACGTGGCCATTTATGACATGTGCATAAATTCCTGAAAATAAGTGTGCATTTATCTGCAGCTGGAGGCATTCTGTAAATGTCAAGTTGAAGTTTCCCATTTTCTCATCGTTGCACCTTATATATATATATATATATTATATATGTGTATATATATATATATATGTATATATATATGTGTATATATATATATATATATATATATATATATATATATATATATGAATTCAAATAGTCTTCCTTTCTTTGTGAACACCAAAAGATACTTTCCAATTCAGTAGTATTAGGTTACCCACATGAGGAATGTAGTGACAACGTGCTGCCCTTCTGCAGCCTTCAAATTATTCAAACAAGAATAGATGAGCTACCGTATTTTACGATGTGAATGTTATTTTCCTGTCACCGGTTTAACATAAGTGCCATGTCATAAGGTTTGATGAAAGAGCACTAAAGAAGACCGGTGATTCTTGAATTGAACTGAATTGCAATACGCGGTTTTATCAATCGCGTGGGAGCTACAAAACTTTCATGTGGACGTAGTCGCTCCATTCAGTCTGACATGTTTGCTCTCCATCACTTTTATGAAGCCCGCTGGGGACTTCTTTTTTTTTTTTTTGGTTGTTTTTCTTCCACCATGTTTTGAGCAACCCAGCTAAAGAGACAGCACAAACTGTGACTGACGAGAAAAAAATGCAAACTTTGTTTCCTTCATTGATGGTCTTCAAGTGTGTATGTCTTTGTTACTTTCCATTCAAACCTGCTGCTAAGACATGAATAAACCTCTGAACTTGCTGATGCTAACGTGACGCTGAATTGATGTGGAGACGTTCTGTACTCTTATGATCTGCTGTTCTCCTCACATGACACATTCAAACGTTTCCTACTCAAAAAGTCAACGTAGAGCAGGTGTTTTCAAAAAGTGGCACAGGGAGCATCTTGTCAGAGAGTTTAAAAATGACGCAAGCACCTCCTATTGTCCCTCTAAAATATTTTCTGGTGTCGAGTTTTCTGCTCTCCCCAGACTCCGTTTCTTATTTTTCCGTAGGATCTATCAACAACAACAAATTAAAGATAACCTTAGTTATCTCAGTAGATTAAAAACTAAATGCTTTATTTTTCTACGGTTGCTTCCAGTTGTGCCAGAACCATTTCGGAACTGGTGTCACCAAAGCTATTCATGCTGTGTTCAAAAGCTAACAACACGCGACGAGTCACCCCATTTCGTGTGAGCCGAACCATTAACTAGCATGTCTACAAAAAGATCCTGCTGCATTTGCTTCGATCGGTGAGCGAGAAGAGTTAAGAGTTGTGGCAGGTTTCCCCCCGTGGCAACGCGCTTTCCCACAATGCCTCCGACATCACTCCTGGAATATTGCCGTGCTGGTGTAACCTCCCACCTCGACTGTCTTGCTTCCAAGGGATGATTTTTTTTCTCTTTTCCCAAACTCAAGGAGTTAATCTCGGGAACCGTTTTTGGAAGACGTGGACAACAACAATGTGGCCGTGATGATGGCGCCGTCGAGAATCTTGGAAGAATTCCTGTCAGGGTTTCATGAAGGTGTAATAGAGAAGGCTGAGGGAAATGTGTTACACCAGAGGTGGATAACTTGGAAGAGTAACGTTTGAAGTTGTTAGTTTGTAGTAGATTTGAAATAGAGTTTTTGTGACAACCCTCGAACTTTGCTGACGCAATACGATTCTCTCCTTCTGGACTCATCTCTCGTCCTCTTGTAAATTGCTTGTTTGAACTCCACCAGTAACACTCCACTATTACAAATTCCAGTGCAGGACTGAATCACAGTTTTTTTAATAGTAATGAGAAGGCCGAGTCTCCAACAAGCTATAGTTTTAAACAAATTGTGAGTGAATGGGTGAAATGTATGAGAGTTAAAAAAAAAAATCAACAACCACAAGGTTTGTGCAACTTTCTTGTGCAGCCTTCAAATTATTCAAACAAGAATAGATGAGCTACCGTATTTTACGATGTGAATGTTATTTTCCTGTCACCGGTTTAACATAAGTGCCATGTCATAAGGTTTGATGAAAGAGCACTAAAGAAGACCGGTGATTCTTGAATTGAACTGAATTGCAATACGCGGTTTTATCAATCGCGTGGGAGCTACAAAACTTTCATGTGGACGTAGTCGCTCCATTCAGTCTGACATGTTTGCTCTCCATCACTTTTATGAAGCCCGCTGGGGACTTCTTTTTTTTTTTTTTGGTTGTTTTTCTTCCACCATGTTTTGAGCAACCCAGCTAAAGAGACAGCACAAACTGTGACTGACGAGAAAAAAATGCAAACTTTGTTTCCTTCATTGATGGTCTTCAAGTGTGTATGTCTTTGTTACTTTCCATTCAAACCTGCTGCTAAGACATGAATAAACCTCTGAACTTGCTGATGCTAACGTGACGCTGAATTGATGTGGAGACGTTCTGTACTCTTATGATCTGCTGTTCTCCTCACATGACACATTCAAACGTTTCCTACTCAAAAAGTCAACGTAGAGCAGGTGTTTTCAAAAAGTGGCACAGGGAGCATCTTGTCAGAGAGTTTAAAAATGACGCAAGCACCTCCTATTGTCCCTCTAAAATATTTTCTGGTGTCGAGTTTTCTGCTCTCCCCAGACTCCGTTTCTTATTTTTCCGTAGGATCTATCAACAACAACAAATTAAAGATAACCTTAGTTATCTCAGTAGATTAAAAACTAAATGCTTTATTTTTCTACGGTTGCTTCCAGTTGTGCCAGAACCATTTCGGAACTGGTGTCACCAAAGCTATTCATGCTGTGTTCAAAAGCTAACAACACGCGACGAGTCACCCCATTTCGTGTGAGCCGAACCATTAACTAGCATGTCTACAAAAAGATCCTGCTGCATTTGCTTCGATCGGTGAGCGAGAAGAGTTAAGAGTTGTGGCAGGTTTCCCCCCGTGGCAACGCGCTTTCCCACAATGCCTCCGACATCACTCCTGGAATATTGCCGTGCTGGTGTAACCTCCCACCTCGACTGTCTTGCTTCCAAGGGATGATTTTTTTTCTCTTTTCCCAAACTCAAGGAGTTAATCTCGGGAACCGTTTTTGGAAGACGTGGACAACAACAATGTGGCCGTGATGATGGCGCCGTCGAGAATCTTGGAAGAATTCCTGTCAGGGTTTCATGAAGGTGTAATAGAGAAGGCTGAGGGAAATGTGTTACACCAGAGGTGGATAACTTGGAAGAGTAACGTTTGAAGTTGTTAGTTTGTAGTAGATTTGAAATAGAGTTTTTGTGACAACCCTCGAACTTTGCTGACGCAATACGATTCTCTCCTTCTGGACTCATCTCTCGTCCTCTTGTAAATTGCTTGTTTGAACTCCACCAGTAACACTCCACTATTACAAATTCCAGTGCAGGACTGAATCACAGTTTTTTTAATAGTAATGAGAAGGCCGAGTCTCCAACAAGCTATAGTTTTAAACAAATTGTGAGTGAATGGGTGAAATGTATGAGAGTTAAAAAAAAAATCAACAACCACAAGGTTTGTGCAACTTTCATTAGCACTGTAGTGCCAGTAAGGGGGGGGGGGGGGCTGTTCGACAAGAAGAAATGATCGAACATGTATACATTATTGCACAAATCCTGCACAACTTGATGTATGCTTCAAGAATGTACATTCTAATTTGTTTATTGAATTGAATTACATCTAAATTATATCTGTCTGTGGAAATATGAAATATGGTGATGTATAAAAATCAGTCCATCCCTTCACTTTGCCATTGTCTTCTTTCCCCTCTGAAAGTTTTTACAAATGATGATGATGTTACAAATATTTATACTTTCCAATGTGAGGCCTGTTAAGGAAATGTTGTGGATCTGTGCTCCTCAGTGGTTCCAAAGAAGCCTTTATTTCTTGTATATTATTGTAGAATTATACTCCAAGCTATCGGTAAAGAAGACAGAATGGAATATAGATGGCATCCATAATTACAACATTGAATGAAATATTACATTTTTATATTTGATGTGAGACAAATCTGTCATCCTTATATTCTGTATTCAAAAACATATTTTTTAGTCGTTGACTCTCATGTAATATGCCCACCGAACTCCTACATTTTCTATAGATCAGAGGGTGAGAAAAAAAAACAATCATTGCTTTCATACGTATAGTACAACAGCAACTGAAAGTGGTTTCAGTGAAGGCTGGACAAAACATCTCCTTGGAGGAAACCCAGAATTTGATTTAGCAATTCCCAGTTCAGACTTCCGGCAGTCATCCACTAGTAACAAAATATATTTGTGAAACCTCTAAAATGAACACTCACTAATGAAGCTCGACACTCCAATTACAAGTTGACTGCCCTCCAACCCCCCCCCCCAAAAAAAATAAACTGTTGCGGTTTTATATATAAAATATCTCAAAGAAGCCAAAAAGGGTCAGTTCTGAACTGAAGTTTTCAACATTTTTACAGGAATACATGAGAATGTTATGGCAGATGACTATTAGCACAGACAATCTCGAACAGACTGCACAAAGGACAGCCACCCCCTTGGTTCAGACGGTTGCTGGCCTGGCATGACTGCGCTTCTCTGCCAGGCGCATTTGTGCTGGTATCTGCAACATCAGCAAAAAAAGTGAACACACGTCATGGAGAAGCATTCTTTTCATATTATACACGAACAACCATCCACACTCATAATCACAAGATTGTTCCATTACCCTGCCGTGTATGTTTTTGGAATGTGGGACAAAACCGGAGCACCCGGAGAAAACCCGCGAAGGCACGGGGAGAACATGCAAACGCCACACAGGAAGGCCAGAGCCGGACTCAAACCCTGCACCTCTGCCATTTGAGGCCCTGAGAAACAGAAAACATGGCAGCCATATTTGTGCTCTCGTTTATTTAAATCAGGGAAGCGCCACGTGACCTGGTCTGGGACCACAAGTGGGCGGGGCCTATCAAACACCAGCTACGGAAGCTCACCCAGCTACTGCTGAGAGAAAATGGCCTTCGTTGGAAAAGTTGCATACTTGTTTCGGAGCTCTATCAGGGGCTCACGATCTTTGAAAGGTTTAACATGGCGCCGAGCTGTCGTCTGTGGCACTGTTGTCGCGACTGGATTTATTGGTTATTCTTACCAATATAACGTGAACCGAAGTGTTCCTCTCTTCGTCGTTCACGCCGAAGAGCAAAAAGTGAGTACGCACTATACGCGCTCTAACAAGTCGTAACTTTTACCCTCACCTGACAGACCCAAGTTGTTGTGTGTATTAGTTGTATGCATTTTTTTAAATGAATGTGACATACTTCAATTTTGCACCGATTGTGCCAGTTAATGAAGCACCACGGTCTTTTTTAAAAGGCCTCACCCGATTGTTAAACTTGTTATGGTAAGAGGATAATGTTTGGGTAAAACGACTTGCACGAAACAAGCATTACCGGGGCTGGCACGTCTTTTATAGACACTTCCAGTGATGTAAGGCTCGTTTCCTGTGACAAATATTGTGAAAGTTATAACTGCACCATTGTCTGGCGAAGTCAATGGGGGTCGAGATTTTAGGCGTGATATTTTTATTTTTTTTTGTAGAACCTGAGTTTCAAACATCTATAAATTTCTTAATCTTCATCATATAAGACTTCTCTCATTGGAAAGCTCGCTCAACACAGAAACAAATAACATGCGACGAATTAATTCGCCAGTGGGTAATGGGTGGTGAATTCCACTCTAAACGCGAAGCAATAGATTTATCTCATCATAACAACGATCATCATAGTTTGAAGATTGTAATTATTAAATTCAGAATTCCAACGGAAAATAATCTGAAAAGCCTGCTTTTGGTAAAGTATTATGTTGTAGTAAAACAGCCCAAATACAGCAAAATGGCTCTTTGCTGTACATCGTTTTTATAATGGGTGCCATGCTGAGAATAAAACTACTTAAAGCTTAGAATTAACAAACCTTCCCTGGGTTGTTCATATACATTGTACGGAACAAAAATATCACAGTTATGAGGTATTTGTAGTGGATAAAATTTATGAAATGGATGTTAGAAATGACAGAAAATATGGGCCATTGTAGCATCACAATGTAGCTGGCAAATTTTAAGGCCAAAAATATGTTTGTCAATTGACCAATTAACTGCAAATTTAACAGAATCTGAAAAAATAAACTGTATAATAAATATGATCATTTGGATTAAAAAAAATACTTTTCGAAAAGTTTTTGAAGTGAGGTTGTCAACTACAAATTAGGGAAATGTTAACCGAGTCTTATACCCGTATGTGATATTTCAAGAAATGTTGAAGTTGTAGAAAGAGTAGAACACCTGTTCTAAATCATCGTGAGTGGTTTATACTGCTAAGTTGGAAAAACACGACAGAGGTTCCGTCATCACTCAAAAAAAAAGCAATCATGAGTATGATGCTTCGAGTGACTTATTTTTTTAGAGCCATTCAGCAGCGGACATACACATACCTGTTCAAATGATTTTATAGTTAAAAATAATAAGCGTCTCATCCTTCTTTTAGGAGCCTGCAGCTCCCCAAATGTCTGCCAGAAAGATGCGTTTCATCCAGTTTGCCTCAATTGTCTATGAAGAAGAGCCCTACATGACACCAAGAGACTTCCTCTTCTCTGTGATGCTGGAGAATGTTGATCGTAAGTGCATGCTTGTTTCATGGCGGCATACAACATACTGTGGAGTAATCGGGTGATTCCACAGATACCTGACACACACACACACACACATACACTTACTGAGTGTAAAAACACTTGTAGGCCATAAATATAAAACAAAAATGGAGAAGAGTAAGTATGGTGGTAACTGCGTACATTGCTGTACCATGTGATGACATTCTTCCGCTGCTTTATTAACCAAGGACCCCCCAAACTGTGTATTCATTTTAAAGAACAACACAAACATGAAGAAAAAGATGATCTTGTTTTTCTCAACAGGATCATCTAGTGCACCATGCAGTTTTAAATGTGTTCCATAATTTTTGTCTCTGCCGTCATTTTATTTTCTTTTTTTAATGTTCTTTCGAACTTATGGAATCAAACTTTGTTTTATTAATTTTATTTTTAATGTGCATGTTTCTGGTCTCTGCTATAGGAAAGCTCCAGAAGAGAGTCCTAACAACAAAAGTAAGAGTAATTCCCCGCACATGGCAGATAAGTAAATAGGAGCGTTTCACTTTATGTTGGGTATAATAGTACTGCTATGCATCTACTCTGACATTTTTGTAGGAACTAGAACAGATGATGGTGGCTGCTTCCAAAGCTCGGCCTGGCAATACTTTGTTCAGATTTTGGGGTGACAATGGTAAGTCAAGTGTCATCTGAACAGCGAGACAAACAGTTGCACACATGCAGCGGAACCTTGAACTCAGTCCATCGACCATTGTTTCCATCGTTCCAGGGTCAAATATTGCCCTCATAAAACCTCTCAAGTGGAAGTCAACCCCAAATTTTTCTTTTCAATAATATGATTATGTGCCTTCCCGCGTCTTAACACTACGTTCTGATTCATTTTGCATCTGTGGAATATCAGTTAAGAAGCAAAATCCACCCGTTTTTAGCCATCTCAGGGGGTGCAGCCATTTTGCGAACTTTCTGTCGGCTGAAAAAGACCTCGCAGTTGCTCAGGGCTCAGGTAACGAACGACCAATCATGGTTCGCCTGTGTTCTGACCTTGCCATTTTTCAAAATGGGGATGTAACTTAATACTTTTTTTAAAATATATATTCTTCATCCCACTACGGGGTAAACGGTGCGATGACAGGTACCCCAGGTGTGATCCCAAGGAACGTGTTTTAATTGAAATTTTTTTTTTCCCTTTAAAATGTAATTGCATAATCACTACGATAGGTGGCAGTGGCGCTCTTGCTGAAAGATGAGGGTGGGCAATTCCGGTCAAGGAGGCCTATAGGTATCCTTAACAACACTAAATTTGGTCCACTAATTTGAATGAATGATAGGTATCCTTAATGTTTTATGTCTCCCTGCTCCGACACAGCTTACTAAATTAGAATTAAATAGCGCTCCCTGAAACCAGTTTCACTAAACAACACTAAATTTGGTCCACTAATTTGAATGAATTCCAATTATAACAAACAGGACATCCCCCCCCAAAAAAAGAAGTCTAAAGCACCCATGCATGACATTCAACAAGACGTCGGCCATTTTGGTTTCAAGCAACCACTGTGGACAAACGAATAAAGAAAGAAGGTATCAAAAGAAGATGGGCGACATTTAATTGCCTTTGCCATTGACTGGAATGTGGGCAGAGCATGCTGCCAAGCTTTGCTCATTTCAAGGATTGTCAATGAAACAATGGTGTGAAGGCTTGTATTTATTGTACTAAGTTCTACTATTTCATTGTATTTTTCATATATAATTGTAAAATCATGTTATTGCAGGTTTGATATCCTACACAGAGTACCTGTTCTTGCTGACTATTCTGACAAGTAAGTGAATGAACGGTGATTTTATGATAATCCACATGATGAGATCTAACAGTCGCAATTTCTCCCAAAGTCCTGGATGTATTTTTCCCGCATTAACCCTTTCGTGTACCCTGTAACCCGATAACATGATAAACTGTCCACTGTAGTAACCGCCCTGCCTGAAAGGGTGATGTGTCATCGAGGTTGCATCACCGACATCTAATAGCTGAGCTGAAGTGGCGAGTTTGATTCAATATCAAAATTGTTAACCGATTGCTGTTTTCCGTGGCAGAGCCGCGAACAGGATTTCACATTGCATTCAAAATGCTTGACGTGGATGGCAACGAGCAAGTGGATAAAAAGGAGTTCATGAAGGTAAAACTAAATGACAGTCGTACTACATCACATAAGTTGTTTTTTTTTTTTTTTTAACTCAGTTCTCACAAATGGATGGCTGGCTGAATTGTTTTTGTGAGCTCAAATGTCACACTGTATGCGTTTGTAATGCTGCCTGATGGTCCGCACTTCATGCTGCCACAGTTGGAAGGTGAGGGGAGCAGAAACTGTTCCGGGCCAATACATTTCGACGTTTGCATCTCTTGTAGCCTGACTCAGCACTTCTCTTTTGTTCATTCCCGCCAAAGCACGTGAATGACAGAACGAGATTGTATTTTTAGGTGTGTCCGTGCTCCGAGCTTGCATGTCTGGGTTCTATTTTATCAGGTAGACAAGAAGGCTGCTTCCAGAATTAGAAATGCATGTTTTCTTTTTCTCTTCAGCAACAAGTATGACTTGGATAAAGATCATAATCCTTCATGAAAGTGATCATTTCTTTATTTTCTTGTTTTTCAGCTGAAGAAAATCATTGTAAAAAATAAAAGGAGCATTTCAAAGGACAACCCAGAGGTAAAAAAAAAAAAAAATCACACTGTCTGTTTCATCAACTATCTGGCAACAAACTTGCGCGTATTTTTGTTTGTTTGTGCTTTGAAATTTTTGGACTCTTATAGAGATCAGTTGAGGACGGAGACCACGTGAACACGACCCTGCAGACGTACTTCTTCGGAAAGAGTGGCGAAAACAAGTTGCAATATCACCAGTTCCGCAAGTAATGAAACTCTCGGTCATTGTCAAATGACAACATAAACCTGAGCTTGATGGAAACGGAATAAACCCCGAGTAGATCAGTCACTGATCGGAATGGATCTGATCAGTATAATATCGGCCTCACTTGTCATTCTTGAGGTTGCTTTTCGATGACTCGTTAACCGCTTGGTCAACTGTCCGTCACTTAGGTTCATGGAGGATCTCCAGGCCGAGGTCCAGGAGATGGAGTTCCTGCAGTTCTCCAAAGGAATGGACACCATGCGGCGCGAGGACTTTGCCGAGTGGCTGCTCCATTACACCAACGAGGAAGACAATGAGGTTTACTGGGAAAACATGAGGAAGAGGATCCCTGCTGGCCAGGTACTCTGTTCTGCAATGTGAATTCTTTTTTTTTTTTAATTTGTCGCTAAAGTGCATCATAAAAATGGCATACCCCCCGCCCCCCACCCCTTTTGCAGAGCATCACGTTTGAGGAGTTCAAAGCCTTCTGCCTGTTCACCAACAATCTGGAGGATTTTGCTTTTTCCATGAAGATGATCAGTGAAGCCAACCGTCCCGTTGGAATGGGTAAGACTGCTTATCGCGCTTGAAGATATCGCAAGGGAGGACCGCCGTCGTTAACAGTCGGTTGTTTCCATCTTCTGGGAAAAAAAAAAAAAAGCCCAGTTCAAGCGCGCCGTGAGGATAGCCACAGGCCACGACCTGTCTGAGAACGTGTTGGACACTGTGTTTAAACTCTTCGACATGGACGGGGACCACTGCCTGAGCCACAAGGAGTTCATTGGAGTGATGAAGGACAGAGTCTTGCGGGGGCTCAAGGTGGGTATCCCTCACTGCGGTTACGTAGTCGCGCAAAAATCCCAGCAATGGAATTGCTGTAGCTGAATGAATGTCAGTTGAAATTCAGTTAATTGATTTACTCTGGAGTCAGGGTGGCCTGGTGGTCCACTGGTTAGCGCTTCGACCTCACAGTGCAGCGGTACTGGGTTCAATTCCAGCTCCGGCCTCCCTTTGTGGAGTTTGCATGTTCTCCCCGGGCCTGCGTGGGTTTTCTCCGGGTACTCCGGTTTCCTCCCACATTCCAAAAACATGCATGGCAGGCTGATTGAACACTCTAAATTGTCCCGAGGTGTGAGTGTGAGTGTGGATGGTTGTTCATCTGTGTGTGCTCTGCGATTGGCTGGCAACCAGTTCAGGGTGTCCCTCGCCTACTGCCCGAAGACGGCTGAGATGAGCTCCAGCACACCCCCGGCCCCCTTGTGAGGATAAGCAGATCAGAAAATGAATGAATGAGTACTTTAGAGTCAACCAATCCTCCATTAAGCGTCTCCAGTCGGTCCATAATGCTGCTGCTCGCCTCTTGACTGGTACTCGTAAGAGGGAGCACATAACCCCGACTCTGGCATCCCTTCACTGGCTCCCGATAGATTTTAGTTATTTTTAAGATCCTATTATTTGTTTTCAAGTCTTGAAATAGCCTCGCTTCACCTTAACTCTCTGAGCTATGCCCCTACGCACCTTCCTCAGGTCTGTGGACCAGACATTAGAGGTACTGAGAACTAAACAGAGGCTCAGGGGATCGAGCCTTTTCCGTTGCTGGTCCCTCTCTTTGGAATGACCTCCCATTGAACATTCGGCAAGCCCCCTAGGTGCTCATCTTTAAAACTCGTCTCAAGACTCATTTTTATTCTTTGGCTTTTGACTCAGCATGAGACTTGATTTTTAGTTTGACTATTTTTGTGCTTTCTACTGTCTTTGTATACAGTGGTGGTTGTTTTAAAGTCGTCTATAAATACAATTGAGTTGAGATTCATTGAATATGAGAGAAGTGTGAAGACTGATCACCCTTTTTTGGTTGTTACTTGCATACTGTACACATCGGGCGTGACAAATATGCCCCTGTGACACGGTTGCTTTTCTTTGCTCGTAGGCGTTGCATTTTCCAAGAATTCTTGCTTTATTTTATGTGATAAACATATACAGGTGCATCCACAGAATGGCTTCTCTGGCTACTGGAAATGTGTGAAGCGGGAGACCCTCAAAGGCGCTCAGGAAGCCATGGGAGGCGGCAGATGTCCCATCTGAGCATCCGATCGACGAGGACACGTCTGAGACCCGCCACGGCTCCACCCAAGTGTGTGCTTCATCAGTAGAGAGCAAACTGTCCCATTCACTTTTGTTGATGAGTCAAATTTTCAAGAGCAAAATTGTATCTTTGTAATATTGGGGGGGAAATGAGAATATAGTTTTCTACCACTAGATTTCAAGGAGTCATCATGTTTTGAGGATGTTAATATTACGAGAGAATTTGGGGTGGGTATGTTTTTCAAAGAAACAGCCCATCAGTCATGACACCATACAAATAAATTCAAGAATGAATGAGAAACCAAGTGAATGAAATCAATCGGAAAAAGGTTACAAAACCATTTCTGAGACTTTTCAAGAGTCTGGCTGGGGCCCTCATTCAGAGCTGCTCCTTCCCACATCCCTGCAGACCTCCACCACCGTCAGCCTGGAAATATGTGCCATCGCCACCAAACGATTGTCAAAATCAAATTTCCTCTTCATGTAAATATAATGCATAGTTTAAAATTTTAAAATAGCAACTTTGTCTTCTCACTTTCAAATATACTCTAAATATAAATCATATAAAAACAGATTTGAAAATAATGGAAAAGCAAATACATCCTCTTGCTTTGCCAACTGAGTTCATGATTTTGTAATCAGGTATAAATAGTTTCGAAATTCCTGACCTTTGCAAACTAAAATTATGAATGAGGAGGCTTATTTTTCCAATTTCTATTCAATTCAGTATTTTCTGCTGCACATGAATAAAAAATGTGCTTTATTTCAAACAGCAATAAACGCACAGAAGAGTGATGTGTCTGGTCGGTTGACATTTTTAACATGGTGCAACTTTAATTTACAAGTATGCAGGCAATTTTTGTGTGATCATGTCACAGATTTGTTTTGCACTGCTCGCAGAAAAATGTTAAAAATGCCTTTTCCGTGTTTATTTGTAGATTTGATGTACCAGCTTCTATGATGTGCCGATTCGCTAACTAACAGCCAACCAGTTATCACCGACGGCTGACGCCATTTTGCATCCTGCGATCAATGGTTCATTCATTCCGTGCATATCTAAAAAGCACAATGACACAAAAATCGTCATTCTTCACTATTCCAAGCATTGCTTTTCACTTAGGTCTGTTCTTGCCTGTTTTATGAGTGTATTGGTTAAGATTGGTATGTGTGCATTTTATTTCATGAAACCATGACCGTGGATGTATGATACGACTTCTTGGCCATGTTGTGAGTTTACTCAGGCATGAAAGCAATGATTTTTAATTGACGTTAACTGTAAGAATTAAGTGTTCGTTGCTGAAGACAGATTGTTTGACAATTTGCATTCAGAACAATTGTATATTTTAAATATGCATTTACCTAAAAAAATAAAAAAACCCACAGATCTCCCAATTTATCCTAGTTGTTTGGGTGGCCAGTGATTGACAAGGGGTGGCCCAGGCCTGGGCCACCACATAGCTATGCCCCTGCCCAGGAGACCCGACCTGAAGCCTTTGACCGCACGGCCATATTGACAATTTCAAGCTCTGTATCATTTATTAGTTCAGTGGTTTCATTGGCTCAGTGGTGCTCTCAAAGGTTGTTTGCTCAATTTTCTCATTCATTTGTTGGTTGGTTGGTTTGAGTCCCAACTTTTTTTTGGCCTGTGTACCTTTTTTTGTCATACCAAGATATGGTGGTAATATATGTACAGTGTGTGTATGTGGTAATGTAATGGTCTCACACTGCTTTGCTCAAGGCCTGGACGAATTGATATGATTACAGTAATGCAACGAGAAAAAAATATATATGCCAAAATGAAAATCCTGTTGGCTTACGTTAGCTAATTAATGTCTTTAAGGTCAAAGTCCAGATTTAACCCAACTGAGATCCCGCTATATGATACATTGCGGGAGAGCGCAAACGTCAGGGAGAAAAACAACTGGCTGCCACACCGGAAAAAAATCTGAACCTGAGCAAGTTAACGTTCTAATTGACTATTTTTACTTGCTATTAAAACGAATGCACCAATTGCTTTTGTGATTTGAATCTTTTAATGAGCCATGAAATGTTCTATAATCCCAAGTGTGATACTGGTTGTGTGGCCACAGCAAGCACTTCTGATGTTGCTTACAGTGGTCCTCGGTGTGCTCAGGGAAGTTGTCTGTTTGCGCAGACATATGAAACGTTAGAGGGAACAATGAACGGCACTGGCTCCGTTGTGCTTGGTATGTGGTGAAACAGCGTTTTGGTCCCAAGTAAACTTAAACTCCATCTCCAAACAGAACACCCTTCACTTCGAAACAACAATGTGGAGTATTTTATTCGCCTGCGTGGACGCACGGAGAAACGAACAACGTGCATGAGAAAACCCGCAAAGGTAAATGAGAGAGCCTTGAAAGATTATAAAATATTGGATTGATGTTGATTTGATTCCTATTCAGTGTGTTATAGCATTATTTTTCAATGTAGAAAAAGAACGCTAATAGTAACAATATAACACTTAATTGTTAAAATAAGCTATTTTCACATTTTCAGGTAGTTGTGTGCCGAGGGATTTTTTTCAATGAAAGAAATGTGCCTTGGCTCAGAAATAATTGAAAAACACTGGATTAGAGCCTTCACAACCGGTGCAGCTGTAACAAAGCAGAATCAGAATATTGATCCATATTTAAAGTGCATTGGATACAAGGCGCACTGTCGGCCTTTGAGAAAATTGAATGCTTTAAGGCAGCCTTCCTCAACTGGCGGACCGCGATCCACGACCGGACCGCCGACCTCCTCTGTCCGGACCCTCGGCAAATTGTATAATATAATAATTTATAGTGATTTTTACGTTATACGTTTTGTATTTGTGGACTATAATCTGCGCATTACCGCGATCGCTTGTTAAAATTATCCGTTGTATTCTTTGCGTGCACTAACAGATGTAATGCAGAGGACCGCAGCAGCGCGACTGTGTGTTGTACAATGTTTGACTCACTGAAGACGCTGGCTGAGCAGGGCATGTCGGCGATAACGACGCGCTGATTGGCTCCTCTGAACTTAAGATGTGCCCATACATAAGCGTCAGCATATACGATGCGCTGATTGGCTCCTCTGAACTTAAGGTGTGCCCATACATAAGCGTCAGCACGCGTCTATCCCAATACACA